GGTGTAAACTGTCTCTGCTGTAAACTCTTTCTGGTGTAAACCTTTGTTGGCCTTGTCTGGTGTAAACGACGTCTGGTGTAAACCGTGTCTGGTGTATAGACGGTGTCTGGTGTAATCGATGTCTGGTGTAAACTCTTCTCTGGTGTAAACCTTTGTCGGCTTTGTCTGGTGTAAACTTTTCCATGGTTACTTCGTCTGGCGTAAACAACGTGTGGTGTAAACCGTGCCTGGCGACATGCACCATCATCATCATTATCATCATCATCATCATCACCTTCATCATCATCATCAGCATCATCATCATCATCATCCTTATCATCCACATCATCATCATCATCATTATCATCATCATCGTCGTCAGCACCATCATCATCATCATCATCATCATCATTACCAGCAGCTACGTCATTGCAATCGTCATCGACCTCATCGTTAGCTCATGATCGCAATAGCATATCACGGGCGTATCGTGAGATCATCATCTCATCATCATCTCATTTTGTTTCATCTTAATGTTTTGAATCATCATATATCATCTCTTCATTTCTTTAGTGCTCATTCATCTTCTGTTACTTCGCTTTTCTTCCCTTCTATTTGTTCTCTTCCGCCTACTTGCTTTCGGGCCACCCTGTCGTCTAGTTGTTGTGGAGGTGACCCGGTTTTGGTGACCTGTTGGAACGCGGTGACAGATCAGGACAGGTGGTCGGTGAATTTTCAATCATTGGAACAACATTTTGGTTTATTGATGTTCGTTCTTTGGCAGGCCAGATATGAAGAATTACTGCGGTCTTCCAAGGTTACACAGTCATTGGTGAGTGTTTTTTTGCGTTATCTAGTCGTTTTCTTCGGTGCGTCAATGGCTGCCTGTCGGTGACAATGGCTGCATGTCTCTTCTTACTTTACTACCTAAAAAGCTGCAAAACGAAAGCCTGCGCTTTTACTTTCGAGTGTGCTTTCTCAGGCCACCCCCGAACCCCCCTTCTTACTCAGCTGGCGCGGGTATAGATACCCAGGGCAACTACAATTCAGTTACCAGGTATAGTAGTTCAAGTTCCCTTTCCGTCAACCAGCTCGATAACCTTTACACATGCACAGCAGTCCACAGCTTTGAAGTCTCATTCTTGCATTGAACTTATATATATATATGTGTGTGTTTATATATATGTGTGTAAGCATAGCATTTGTAGGGACCCAGGGTAGCTACAATTCTGTTGCCAGGTATCCCACTTCATTTCCCTACTGAATCCAGGCGCGCGCGCGCAGGGTAGCTACAATTCAGTTGCCAGGTATAGTACTTCCAGTTCCCTTTCCGTCAGCCGTTCGATAACCTTTACACATGCACAGCAAACCACAGCTTTGAAGTCTCATTCGTGCTTTGAACTTATATGGGTGTGTAAGAGGTATAGCAACAGCAACATAGCATTTATACGGACCCAGGGTAGCTACAATTCTGTTTGCAGGTATCGCGCGCATGAACCTGGTAACTGCACTATAGCTACCCTGGGTATCTATACCTGGCAAGGTGCCAACTACACCTTAGCATTCAGATGATGCAAATGATGCAAATTGCATTTCTTGCATCACAACCCCTCAAAAATCACCTCCAACACAACCTCAAAAAACATTCCATCCGTGCACCCTCCTCCCCCAGCATGTGCCGAGTTTACGTGTACCTTTTGCGAGCCACCCCCCCAGACCCCCTAACTACTCACTTCGTTCGCCAAGCGCAACTCAGCTGGCGCCTTCTACGAAGGCTGGCTTTCGTAACATCTTTTTCTGCCAAACAACAGCTTTGTGCAAGGTATTACGAGATCCGACGGCCCCCCAAAACAAGTCCCTACTATTTATGCGTCCTTCAAAATCGGCTCCCCACTGGGAACAACTACACGAAGTATGATCAATGTGTAGAACTTACCAAGGCCATTTATCAACGCGTGACCTTGTTTTTGGTCCGATTTGTTACCATTTGTTGATTGTGTGTTTCCTAGGCCTAGTGACCTAGTGCGTCCTAATTGATTCCCCATGTGATCCTACGGTTGCCTTTTTTGAGAATTGTTGGTCCAGGTTGCAGAAAAATAGAACTTTGAGGAC